TGTTACAACTGCATTAGTTTTGCCAGAAAAACAACAGGTTGTTGTGCGTACTAGCTCGGTGGCAAGTCTGACATGCAAATTTCCCCAGTATAGTTACGCCTTAGTAGTCGCACATGTTGTTTATCGCCTGCTATTCTTAAGGCCGTGGTGGAGGCGAGGCCCATAAGCAAATTCCAAAATTTCCTCATTTGCAATATCTAGCAGGAATGCATTAGTGCACTTCACGCCCTTCTCTGCAACTGCATTATAACTTGGGGTGGCAAACTACTTAGTGAGCCTAGGCCTGCTTTCGATAAATCCGCGTCCGCTCAGTACATTTATATGGGAGCGGGATCAGGTAAAATGTATCAGTGGTTGCAGAAATCGATTAAAGTTTGTCTTAAGAGAAAACAAGTGGGTTGTGAGAATTTTGGATGGTAGTGCAGTTAGTCGACCTTTGGCCACTGTGAGTGTGGAACCTGTACGAGGTTCCTCTATGCACACAAAACCGGCTTTCACTTCTGCTAAAAGTTGCTGGCTCGGTTTAACCTTATAAATCGCGTGAAAGGCTTCGCTGGGGTCCACAAGATGCCCACGATAAACACTATGTGCGTGAATGGTGCTGCTTATGCTTCTAATTTTGCCTTTTTTGGCCATACCGGAAAGCGGACTTTCCACTAGGCTCTGACAAATACAATCTGCTCCATGGGAGCAAGTCAATGAGTGGACAAAGGTTGCGGTGAGTGGAGCTGGCAACCTATCCCTACCTTCTCCGTGCAAAGTAAAACTGATAAAAAAATAATACGCGTACCGTGTCCACTACTGCTTTATGTTAATGTCCCTGATGATGAATCCGCGATGGATCTCGAAACCTTAGGCGAGTCGTCTTCATCTCAATATACGTACTCTTGTTGCTGGGAGGTTTCGTGAGACAGATGGTTCAGAGCATCTTTTCAGGAGCTCTCTCACAGCATCCCTTTGTTCGGCAAACAGCATCTAGAGAGAGCTTAGTAGGATCCGGAACTGGCTTCGCGAGAACCGGCATCCTGACAGGTTTATTGCAAATAATATTGCCGAGCGAACAGAAGAACCTGCCCCACTTTTTATTCCCTAAAGCGCCCCTTTTGGAGGGGATGTACACACTTTCTCACTTGCAGTTCTTGGGGTGGCTATGAAGGCGGGGGCTTCCTAGTCACCTGCCCGTAAACAACTTCCAATTGCCCTTCTTTGCAAGGAAATTCAGCGAAGGAATTTTCGCTTCGTGTGAAGGTGATGGACTTCAGCCCTCGCCCACCTTCCGCAACTGTCTTAAAGAGGCAGTTTTCCTTCTCGCCCTCCTCTCAGTTCCCACAGCACTAATTCTTCTGTGTAGGGTATAACCTCGACTGCCGATGGTGCTGATGTTGATGCTCGCGACTTTGTAGTATGCTCGCTGATCTTATCCTGAAATTTAACATGTACGCCCGCTGCTGCTGCTGCCGACACTTCTGCTGCTCTATGGTTTTTATCACCACTGATTCTACCTCTGCGACTACTATTACTGTTGCTACTGACAGTTTGGCCGTTGGTTGGTTAGTAGCCCTTGTTGGATCAGGAGTCCC